CCCATCACACAGGATGGTTAGTCATACAGAGGCATGTGATTAGCGGTCTGCACTGGCAGACTCCGGATGCATTTGAGGATATCAACAACACAAGATTGAATAAGGTAGCAGTGGTAATACAAGTCCCCATCTCGCAGGATGGTTAGTCATACAGAGTCATGTGTTTAATAGCCTGCACTGGCAAAATTTGGGTATACTGTGAGGATATCTTCAAGAATACGAGAGTGAATAAAGTAATTGCAAAGCTCCAGGTACCTCATGCCAACTGGTCTGAAAGGTCTAATAACTGGGCATTCAGTGATGTAGTGCGGGAGATCATGCCGTAGTTCCTGCTCACAGAGTTTGCAACTGGAGTGCTCAGGATTGGGAGACCGTCACCTGCAGCCACCTGCCACAGGTAACGGTAACCCAACCTGATCCTTGCAACCACTGTGTCGCACAGTCTAGTGGACGTTTTGTGCTGTCCATAGATGTAGGTTTCAGATCTGAACAAATCATAGCTTTTTATACTAGTACTTTCAGGTCGTTGGGAGTCAGTAAGTTCTTTCCTATCAGATCTGAATGTTTGGACCAATACAGTTTTGACAGCAGAGATAGGGATACCTAGATCTAATTCAACTTCAAACTTGTTACACGCTAATTTGGCTGCAATGTCTGTCTCATTATGATGGGTTATATTTATGTGTGAAGGTATCCATACAAAGGAAATTCGAGACCCTTTACTCTGTGCATCAATTAGGTCATTTATAATTGGGAGTATGAGGTTCTTGCTGTCGATCTTCCAAGAGAAGTTTTCGATTGCTTGAAGAGCAGACTTTGAATCGCAGAATATTATTCCTCCTCCAATATTTTTAATGTGCTGGTTGCTAAATGTAATGCTGCTAGTTCTGCTTGTGTGGAGGTCAGCCAGTTGTTTAACCTGACACTGACAGTCTTTGTGCAGATATTATTTCTATAAAACCTACATGCCGCTGCAGTCCGTCCAGTAGAAGACTGGACTGAGCCGTCGGTGTAGACACAGTGCTCGTGAGATCTTAGACTCTCGATGGAGGAGGCAATTGTTTCAAGAGTGACAGCTTTGAGTAGAGCAAGATTCTCATTATCTTTCTTGGTGACAGGTGTGTATGATACTTGAATGGTAGGGTACAGATAAACAGGAATATCAGAGACTGGTAGATTGCACTTAAAAGGAATGTTAAGTTTAATGAGATTGTAAGCATTGTTCTCAGCCAATTATCATAAAAGGAGTGAGTTGGTATGTCGGCACCAGTCAAAAGGGTGTTAACAGCACTAAATAATTTGTCTCTGAGCAATGTAGGAGATGTAGGATCTCTCATGACTTTAAGACAGAAGGTAGTGTTAACTTGCATTATTCTCTCTAGTATGGTCGGAAACTTCAGTTCTTCCCTCATGTTGATGATTCTTGTGCATCTTGGGGCACCAAGAATTATCCTCATGGCCTCGTTCTGTATTACTTCAAGTTTGTCCAACACAGAGGAGGGGAAATTAATTAAGTGCAGAGCATTATAATCAACGAGAGATCTAACAAACATCATATAGAATAGTCTAGCATATTTAATATTGATACCAATATTCTTACCAGTAAGTGTTCTCAATGGTTTTAGTCTTTCTTTAACCTACGGTGTAGATCATTACAATGTCACTGTTAATACCAACTCCAAGGTATTTGTGCTGCCCACACGTTCAATGTTCTGGTTGTTGACCTTGAAAGCTATAGGGACATGAGTTTTCTCTTTGGGATGGAGAACTCTGGATTTAGTTATAGAGATAACAAGACCACATTCAATGCTTTTAGCAGCGAATGAATCAAGTAGAGCTTGCAGTCTAGTTTGGGAATTTGCAACAATGCATATATCATCGGCATAACAAATGACGGCTTCGTCAGGTAGTGTGGGAATATCAATTGTTAATTTGTGCATCAGAACATTGAACAGTTGTTCAAATTTTAGCTGTCCTTGAAGAAAGTCTAGGTATATTAGAACGATGATTTCACTTGTCATGCATTTATTTGACGGCACTGCTCAGTGTAATGTATAAATTACAGTTCTGTTGGTCGGATATCAAGTCCCAAGTCCAAGAGCTCGGACTATATACACACAAAAGCAAATAACTAAACACCGATAGGGATGCACACACACACAAAAAAAGGAGTTAGTAAACAGTTGATTGACAGTTGAGAGGCGGGCCGAAAGAGCAAAGTTCAACCCCCGCAAACACAACTAGGTGAATACACACAGAGGGAGGGAGCCGGCCGGCCGAGCGGACAGCACGCTGGGCACGTGATCATGTGGTCCCGGGTTCGATCCCGGGCGCCGGCAAGAAACGATGGGCAGAGTTTCTTTCACCCTATGCCCCTGTTACCTAGCAGTAAATAGGTACCTGGGAGTTAGTCAGCGGTCACGGGCTGCTTCCTGGGGGTGTGTGTGCGTGTGAGGGGGGGGGGGGGTGGAAAAAAATAGTAGTACTAGAAACAGTTGAT